CCATACACGAGCTTGTAGTCCCTCGTTCTCCTAAGATACTTGAGGATTCCTTTAACAACAGTCCAGTGATCATATCCTCGGTTGGATTGGTACCTACTGACCATCCCTACTGCATAGCAAATGTCAGGCCTCGTGCACAGCATAGCATCAGGCTGCCCACTACTGAAGCATAGGGTATATGTCTCATATCCTAAAGTTCTTGAGGTGTCTTAGGACATTGTTCCTTAGATATATGAATTTCATGCCTGAAGAGTAATAAACCTTTCTTGGAATTCTGCATCGAATATTGAACAATCATCTTGTCGATATAAGTTGCTTGAGACAAGGCTAACGTTCTGTTCTTACGATCCCTTAGAATTTGGATGCCAAGAACATACTGAGCTTCTCCCAAATCAGTCGCTAGCCCCTTCTTTATGTCAGTGAGGTATCCTAAATCATTCCCAATGAGTAGGATATCATCCACGTACAACACTAAGAAGGCTACAGTGTTGTTGACGACCTTCTTGTATACACAAGGCTCATCAACGTTTTGGTCAAAACCATAAGATTTGATCGCAGCATCGAACCTCATGTTCCAAGATCGAGATGCTTGTTTCAGTCCATATATGGACCGTTTAAGCTTGCAAAGCTTTTGCTCTTGACCTTGAGCTATGAACCCTTCGGGTTGAGACATATAAATACTTTCTTCAAGATTGCCATTCAGAAAAGTAGTCTTGACGTCGATTTGCCATATCTCATAGTCATAATATGTGGCAATGGACAAAAGTATTCTAATGGACTTAAGCATAGCTACAGGGGAGAAGGTTTCTTCATAGTCCACCCCTTCCCTTTGTGTGTAGCCTTTTGCCACAAGTCTCGCTTTATAAGTCTGTACCTTTCCTTCGGCGTCTCGTTTTCCTTCGGTGTAATTCATTTCTCTTCAAACTAGTCAGTAGTATCAGGGTTGGTTTCAAAATTGTATCTTATTAAATTATAAAACGTGCATTTCAACCAATCAATTATTTTTATTCCCAAACTCGATTGCTCATTCCAACAATTTGCAAAATCAATTTTAAAAGAAAACTAGTCCCTGTGGAGACGAACTTGGAATATTTCCAGATTATTACTTGTGACAGTGTGCACTTGCACTCGTCCCTCTTGCTATTAAGCACAGGCGCAACAAATTTTTGGCGCCATTGCCGGGGACTTTATTTTCATTTTAATTTATTCTTTGTGAATTGTTTTTGTGTGCAATCACTCTACTATTTCTGTTCTGAAAATATCCCTCTATCCAACCTCAAAACTGAGTATCAGTGTATGAGCACAAATTCATATTTGTTACCTTACGATCCAGAGATCGAGAAAACCTGCAAGAGGTTAAGACGTGAACAGAGACTGAAAAAACAGCAAGAAAAAATCCAAAAAGAGAAAGAACGTGAGCACTTCAACAAAATGGCAGAAAATGTAGTGCCGAACCCGATTCATGTGGCTGACCAAAGAGACCGTGCAATACGAGATTATGCAGCCAAAATATTAGAGGACCTGAACTCTAACGTTATGAATCCACTTCCAGCAGATGCCCAATTTGAATTTAAGCCAATGATGCTTCAAATGTTAAACACTATTGGCCAGTTTGGGGGGCTTGAACATGAAGATCCACGCTCTCACCTTAAATCTTTTATTAAAGTTGCTAACACTTTTAGATTACCTGGAATCTCTGATGATGCATTAAGACTCACATTATTCCCTTTTTCTCTTTCAGGCCAAGCAACAGCATGGCTGAACGCCTTCCCGTCAGACACCATTACCACATGGAGCGATATGGTGGATAAATTTCTTGTTAAGTACTTCCCACCGACAAGGAATGCAGATGTTCGGGAAGAGATTATCTCATTCAGACAAAAGGAGAATGAGGCGGTAAACGTTGCTTGGGAACGTTTCAAAGATCTAATAAGGAATTGTCCAAATATTGGAATCCCAGCATGCATACAAATTGAACATTTCTTTAGAGGTTGCGATATACCGACTAAGATGATGCTTAATGGGGCCGCAAATGGGAAATTTACATCAAAATCTTTCAACGAGATAGTGGAGATTCTGGACCAGCTATCTGAACACAATGATCAATGGTGCTCGGAGAAATCAAAGACCTAATCAAAACGAGCAGATCCAACTGTTGCGTGCTAGCCTTAGATAATATGACGTCTATGCAAAAACAAATTGACACCATCACTCAAATGTTGAAGAACATGGAAAAGAACAATGCGGCTGCCGCATCAGCCCCAGCAACACCCAATCCTTCTCCTGTTTACCAAATAGCTGAATCTACTTGTTATTATTGTGGAGATCTACATCCATCTGAAAATTGCCCTTCTAACCCTTCTTCTATGTATTATGTAGGTCAAATGAATCAACAAAAATTCAATCCTTATTCGAACACATACAATCTGGGATGGAAGCAGCATCCTAATTTCTCATGGAGTGGACAAGGAAGTTCCAGTGGTACGGGACAGAATCAACAGTACAAGTAAGCTTATACCCCACCTGGATTTCCAAATTCACCGGCTTTTCCACCAACTCCACATCAATACAACCAACAGAAAAATTATGTGCAGTCGGCACAACAAAACTTGAGTAAGATGGAGATTTTAATGAAGGAATTCATAACCAAGAACGATGCCACAATGAAGGAATTAATGACTAGGACTGATGCTACCATGAAGGACATGAAGGATGTGAAGGATTACATGGGCAGAAATGACGTTACGGTAAGAAATTTAGAGATGCAATTGGGACAACTTGCGAATGAGGTAAGGACAAGACCCCGGGGTTCATTAYCGAGTAGTACARAAGAGCCAAGAAGAATAGGAAAAGAGCATTGCAACTCCATTGCAACAAGGAGTGRACTAACATAYGAAGGACCTCGAATGCCAGATGAATCTTCCCCTAGCCCTTCGARAGAGAAAGACACACWSGCCGTACCTGRCAAAATAGTAGAACCAGAGGTAAGTGTACCGGTTGCCCCACAGGTAAGTAACTCTAGACCTCCTCCTCCCTTCCCCCAACGTTTAGTAAGGAAAAATCAGGACAATAATTTTCGTAAGTTCCTAGACATCTTGAAACAACTGCACATTAACATGCCCTTTGTTGAAGCTCTTGAGCAAATGCCTACTTATGAAAAGTTCTTAAAAGACATAATAACTAGGAAGAAAAAGTTAGGAGAGTATGAGACGGTAGCTTTGAAAGAATATAGTAGTAATGTTTTTAAGAGCAAAATGCCCCCTAAGCTTAAAGATCCTGGCAGCTTTACAATCCCTTGTTTAATAGGAGGTAAAGATGTAGCGAGAGCACTATGTGATTTAGGGGCTAGCATAAATCTCATGCCTTTGTCCATTTTTAAGAAATTAGAAATAGGGAAAGCTAGTCCTACCACCGTCATACTCCAGTTAGCAGATAGATCAATCACCAAACCAGAAGTAAAAATAGAAGATATCCTAGTAAAGGTTGATAAATTTATTTTTCCTGCTGACTTTATTATTTTAGACAGTGAAGCTGACAAGGATGTGCCTATCATTCTCGGACGCCCATTCCTAGCTATAGGAGAAACTCTAATTGATGTTAAGAAGGGAGAACTCAAGATGCGCGTTGATGATCAGAAGGTGACATTCAATATGCTGGATGCAATGAAATATCTGGACGATATGGAAGAGTGTGCAGTAATTAGCATTGATAAGGGAATTACTTGTTATGAGTTGGATGATTTGTTAAATGCAGAAATAGAGGCAGAGTTAGAAGAAGCAGAAAAGGAAGGCATCATAGCGACAACTGCTTTGAAGAAAGAAAAGAGAAAGTCAATTAAGCCTTTAAAAATAGAACCACCGTGATAGGGAGGGGATTTCAGCGAATAAGCGACCCTCACATTGGTTTTGAGAACTAAAAGAGGGATTTGTCTTGTATTTTATTTATTTTATTTTTTTTCTTTATGCACGCATTGTTTGTTTTTTTTTATTTGATTATTTAGTTTGAATAATTTTGCAGGAACAATAACATGCTTAAATGTGAGAGGTTAAGATGAAAAGAGGAAATTTTGCTAAGAATTTGCCTTGGTGCTAGACGACACAACCATGTCTACTTTCCACCATCTTCAACCACATCGTGATGTTACAAACAATGAAGAAAATGATTCAAGGAGTTTTTTTTGTGACCTCCAGTATTATTTAATTCAATGCATGTTCTATTTCTGTTAATAAATTAGTAGATGCGCATGTTAGGACTTAGGTAGTTAGTTGATTTTGTCTTTTGAAAGCAGGCTATCAAGTCGTGGATATTATGATGTGTTGCTCCGGGCTAGCATTGACATGCATGGAAATAATAAAACTTGCTGCCAGATTTTTGTTTTTGTGAATCATCAAGTGAATGCACAATTGTCTAATTAATTTTAAGCATGAAAAGTCTTAGATTTGCCATCTTTGAGTAGGTTCTTGTTCTTTTCTCATGTCGATGATGATAATTAGGAATATGCATGAGCTTTGTTTTGTACTATTTAGATCAAGCTATGACTCATTTGCCACGTTGTTTTAAGATAAACTCATTTCTGCTTCTTTAGTTTTAACCTTTAAACTTTTTACATCTTTTAAGAGGATCATTGTCCTTTAATGGTAAAAAAATTGTACGCACCACCAAAAGTTTTTCACACTTAAAACCAGTGAGGACACTGTCTCCTTCAAGTTTGGGGGAGTCGCTTCCCTCAAGTTTGGGGGAGTAGCGTAAGCAAGCCTAATAGAATGCAGTGAAAAAGAAATAATAAAATAAAATAAGAAAGGTAAGAAAAAGTGTGGAAAAACGAAGAAAGAAGTGGCAAAAGAAAAAAGTGAGAGAAATTTTTGCAAAGAAAATAAGAGCAGAAAGACAAAAGCGTGAAAGGAGAAAATATGTTGCAAGAGAACTTAATGAGAGAAGAAAAGTAAGGAAGTTTGTCTTAACTCAGTTCCCACTCTGTTTGCAAAAAGAGTCTCACTTAGGGATACTCATAATTTTATGGTAGCAACTAGTTTGACTTTGTGCAACTCACTAATCGACAAGCTCGGATTGGTTGCCAGCCTAGAGAATCCCTTGAGTGACTGTCCTATTTTCGAGTCATTTTTGTGCTAGAAAATTTTCATTAAAGGGAGTGTGCATAGTCTCTACTGGATTTGAAAAAGTTTTTTTGAGTGAGACAATAGAAGATTTTGAAAAGCTTTTATCTTTTAAACAAAGGTGGCCTTATGATGATTTTGCTTGAGAAAAGTAGTAGGGATTAGAGCTTTGACGTTCCTCCTGAGACACCATATGAGCAAATTACTCGGCTCTGCTTGATGTTTGGTTTGTTCTTGAAATTTTCATGCTTATTATTGATTTGGTAGTTGTTGTTCTTGCTTGGGGACAAGCAAAGTTTCAAGTTTGGGGGTGTGATAAGTCTTGAATTTTAGGAAAAAGTGTTTACAAATTGTGCATGTTTAGTGTCTTCTGAAATTAAATACATATGTTTCATGCATTGAATCCGGTATAAATGGGACTATTTCTTAGGAAAGACTAGTACACTTGGTTTTGGGATATGAGGAAATATATATGTTTTATAGGGAAAAAGGAAGAAAAAAGCAGCAATGCACCTGCTGCAGATGACACAAAGGCTATCTTAAAGCTAGCAGCGATGCGTCTGGCGCATCTCCAACACTCTAGAAACTTCAGCAATGCGTCTGGCGCATTCTCTACCTATAAATAAGGGCTTTTGTTGACCGAGCAGTTGGAAGAAATCTCAACCCATCCCTTGATTCGTGCAACCAAACGCTGTTAAAGCCCCATTGTAGCTCCTCCACTCAAATACCCAAGATTTTCTCCACCAACTTGCAAGGTTTAGCTTATAAATACCAAGTTCCATCAAGCTTCAAAGGGGAGCTCACTTGACATTTAAAATTCCAGCTTGTTTCCTCTCTAGAATTTACGTTTTTAGAATTTGTTTTGTCTTTAATTTTGCTCAACATTCCTTGAATTATTTTTATTGCAATTCCTTTTTGTTGTTATCATTTTCTTTAGATTTT